TTAAACAAGTGCCATGGTCCTGTACTCCCGAGACTTTTTACTCAACCGGAGAGGTTCCAATGTGCCGCTGTCGGACATATTAACAGATACTCTGTCTTCAGTGGGCATCTACAGTGATCCAAAGGATTATTGTGAAATAAAGAATGATAAACTACGGAAGCCGGGGAGGAGTCAGACGCAGACTCAAGCGGCTGGGATTCTGCCGTACACCACTCCCATCTATCATTCTATGCAACGCTCAGTCCATCAGAAATAAGATGGATGAACTGCACGCCAACGTTGTCCACCAGGAGAAGTTTAAAAATGCGTGCATTCTGGTCTTCAGTGAGACTTGGATCACGTCTGCATATTCAGAGATGGATTTATCGCTGCCTGGTTTTGGTGCGCCAATTCGCTTGGACAGAGATCCTGACGTCACGGGGAAATCCCAAGGAGGCGGGGTCTGCTTCTAAAGCAATAAAGTTTTTGAGTTGAGTTGAGTTGAGTTGAGAGTTGCATTTATTTTGAGTATTTGCAGTTACCCTAACAAGTCCAGTGGTACTCTGTAGAGGACATCCTGGGCTTTCCAGTGATGTGCCATGTGATTGGTTTGCATGCTGAAAACTACACTTTTTGTCTTTTTCAAAATTTCTGCCATACCAACAACCACATTTTATGGAAAGATGAGAGGTAAGTAAAATAATCCCTATGTATTGCTATTTTTACTATGAACATTATATTTGTGTCCACTAACATGTAAATAACAATATGTATACATCTGAAAACAGTTTACTTATTTCTGTTTTGAAAGAATAGTCATTTCAACTGTAGTGGATGCCAGGACTATTTTAATGTATTTGATGACTGCACATTGTTGTAGGAGCAAGGAGTGAAGCAGAGAGAATCCTTTACTGGATAATTGAGGGAGAATCAGATTTGGAGCTTTTAGAAGAAGAGAAGGATGATGAGGAGTATTAGCCTAGGATAGGAGAAGGTGACTTTTTACTTTTTAATTGTGCATCTGGCTGTTTCTACACCCGTGAGGAACTCATGAACATCCGACCCACCGTTCCCATGGACCTATTGCCTGTTTTCTTGGCATCTGCGGCTGATTTAGTCCATGTTCTAGCCAAAAAAGTGTGGGCCTGTAAAAGGGGAAAGCGCGGAGGCCTGCTCGTGCGTCTTAGGAGGAGAGGAGCGCGCACGGCTCTCCCCGGCATTTTTCTCTCCAACGTACGCTCACTGGGCAATAAGATGGACGAACTCAGCCTGCTCATGAGAAGAAACAAGGACTTCGCCACATCCTCTGTCCTCTGCTTCACTGAGACCTGGCTAAATGAGCGGATCCCGGACTCTGGACCCCCTGCAGTTCGCCTACAGAGCCAACAGATCTGTAGACGACGCCATCAACTTGGCCCTCCACCACATCCTACAGCACCTGGACTCCCCGGGGACCTACGCCAGGGTCCTGTTCGTGGACTTCAGCTCTGCCTTCAACACGATCCTGCCATCCCTGCTCCAGGACAAGCTCTCCCAGCTCAACGTGCCCGATTCCATCTGCAGGTGGATCACTGACTTCCTGACAGACAGGAAGCAGCGAGTGCGTCTGGGGAAGAATGTCTCGGACTCTCGGATTATAAATACAGGAGCCCCACAGGGCTGTGTTCTTTCTCCCCTGCTCTTCTCCCTGTACACCAACCACTGCACCTCCAGCCACGACTCCGTGAAGCTGCTCGAGTTCGCGAACGACACCACCCTCATTGGACTCATCTCCAATAACGATGAGTCCGCCTACAGGAGGGAGGTGGACCGGCTGGTGTCCTGGTGCAGTGGTAACAACCTGGAGCTGAACGCCCAGAAGACAGTGGAGATGATTGTGGACTTCAGGAAGAGCACTGTCCCCCCGCCCCCACCCTCCGTGATGGACTCCCCCATCACCTCTGTGGAGTCCTTCCGTTTCCTGGGCACCACCATCACCCAGAACCTCAAGTGGGAGCCGACCATCAGCTCCCTCATCAAGAAGGCCCAGCAGAGGATGTACTTCCTGCGGCAGCTCAGGAAAGCCAAGCTGCCTGCACAGATGTTGGTGCAGTTCTACACGGCCATCTCCTCCATCACCTCCTCCACACCTCCTCCATCACCGTGTGGTTCGCTGGAGCCACAGTCAGGGACAAACAGAGACTACAGCGCATCGTGCGCTCTGCAGAGGAAGTGATCGGCCGCAGCCTTCCATCGCTGCAGGACCTGTACGTCGCCCGAGCTCGAGGCCGGGCTGGTCGTATCACAGCCGACCCCTCTCACCCTGCACATGGACTATTCCAACCACTCCCCTCAGGCAGGAGACTGCGGTCCATCAGGACTAGAACCTCCCGCCACAAGAACAGTTTCTTCCCCTCTGCTGTTGGACTCTTGAACACTTCTTAACCTGTCCCCCCGCCCTTTATAAAGTAACTTTACTGCCCATCATACGTCACTTTACTTCACTGTACTGCTGTCACCTTACATTGTGTGCACCATGTGCACTTGTATATTGTAAATAGTAACTGTAACTCTATTTTAAATTTAAATGTATTCCTTAGAAGTGTTTTTTATTCTTTATTTTTTATTATCTCTTTCTGACTGTGTTGCACTGAGCCAAAGCAATTTCAAAGTCTGTGACTTCTTGTTACTTATGTGGCAATAAAAATGATTCTGATTCTGAACTGCAATATAAGATATCAACGCTAGATGGCACTAAAAATTACACAGTGTACCTTTGAGATTATACATTTTAACACATTGAGTGCATTTCACATCCCATCATACGTAGTTCACAGACATCAGTTGTCTCGGGTCATGGTCTCAGAGCTCATGACATAACATGTTTGTAAAGGGTATTATTGTGTTCGAGAATTAAGCTATGATGTGTAATCACAATGGTTTTCTCAAAAATTATAGTGTTCATCTAAATACGTGACCCAACCAAAAATTGAGTTTAAAAATTGTGTAGTAGATTGCATTTTGTGAGTTTTAACACTGCACTACACTACACCAAGCACTGATTAAATGTCTGTGCGTGACAAAGCTATAGTTTTCAGCCCATTTTAGTTTTAACTGCAAAACAGCTATTAGGCTACACATTTAGATCTACAGTTAGGCCCGTCACGATTACACATTTTTTGGACAATTATTTGTCTCAGAAATTATTGCGATAAGCGATAATATTGTCGTTCTGAGATCATTTAAACAATGATAATGATGCAGGTACACCTTTTCAAAGAGAAATACACTTTTATTTTTAAAGACCAACGCCGTAAGTGGCGGAAGTAAAAAGCCAGACGCAAGACTTTATGAAAGAAAAAACGATGTCCAGAATCACTGTAAAGCCAGCTGCTCCTCCTGCTAATGTTTAGATACAAGTGCTGTGTGTGTGTGCAGATGCGATCTAAATCCAAGGGTCACTATAAAAATCAGGTTTCACATGTGTTTTCAACGGGAGACGCGTTGCTGAGCGCACAAAATTAGAAATCCATCCTAAATTAGAGCGCAGCCTCGCATCATACGTCCGTCATACGCGTGTATAACACTAGTAGAGTAAATATCACCATTGGTTAACATGGATAAAAGTTACGCGCGTCTGCTGCACGTATAACGCCTACGTGCTGTAACGCGTCCTGTGTAAATTAGCAGTCAGAGTCTTCTGTGCATGTTGCTTTCTGAATGATTTTTCCCTTGCATGAGACAAATAAATGTCATGTTCTCTACACTGCGTTCTGTTTGTCCCCAGGCTTTCTGTCCTGCAGGGTGTCAGTCCTTCACACATCTTAGCTTCCATGGTCATCTGTGTGTTTCTTGTATCATCATTCTATACTCATGTAGATTCTAGATAATTAAAATACAATCCCTATAAACTGTGTGTAGCACAGAAAAGTTGTACCTTCCATAGTTCCTGAAATCCCCCCAGGAAAAAGAGTGCATTTTAACATGCATTTTTTTCCCAAGATGTGTACACCATGTAGAATAAACAAATGCAAACTTTGAACAGTTACAGAAATGTCCTTCACGTATGTGCTGATGTGTTATGGAACAACGGAAGAAAAGGCCTCATGCCTGTCAGGTTTGCCTTGGTAAACCGAAAAACAAGAAATCAATAGCTTGAGTAACCCAAAGACACTTGTCGTGTTGGTCATATATAGTATGTACTTTTCCATAAATTGTGTTAATAAAGTAAGGACACAAAAATATGTATCGGGCGGCACGGTGGCTGAGTGGATAGCACTCTCAGCAAGAAGATTCTGGGTTCGAATCCCGGTTGGAACAGGGTCTTTGTTTTCCCCGTGCCTGCGTTGGTTTCCTCCGGGTACTCTGGTTACCCCTACCACTAAAAACATGCTCACTAGGTTAAATTCCTCCAGCTCTGGTCCTGAGCAAAATCCACATACAATGCTGTCGAAGCTGGTATCATTAGCCACGTTAGCAGTGTTAGCTCCAAACATATACAGTGTATGACAAGAAAGTCAGCCTATCAGAGCTCAGCTATCTGATGGTATATCCTTCAAAATTTGTGTCGGCACAAAATGGCAGCCAGCTCATTAAATATGCCGACATTTCTAAAATTCATTGTGGCTAAACTAGAGTGTTCCAAAAAAAATCACTCCCCTCAGCATTGACACACGTGGAATGTAGATACATACATTTCCATTGAATAATTCTCTTTCCGGGTCCGGCCCCTCTGGCCTGGTGTGGTATTGCAAGCATGCCAGCGCCCGTCATTCTGGACATTTTTGAGTCAGGACCCGCCCCCTCTGGATTGAACCTACGACCTTCAGGCTCAAAAGCTAATGCTTTACCAACTAAACCACTGTCGCCCCATCTGTCTTTCTTTTCATAGAAAGATAGATGGGGCATCTATATCTATCTACCTGTCAGGGAAAGGCTTCTTGCTTTCTTTGTTTCAAAATTGGATTGAAAGTTCAAAAGAGACTTGCTTTCCATTGAAAGCCAGAATGTGTGGTGAGTTGTACAATCGTCCGATATAATACTTACAAGATATCCAGGTGATCCAGTTTGAGGTTTGTGATACTGGACACTGCTGCCCTGGTCACAACTGAATGAGATTGGACATAGTCTATGTACCGCAGCCTCAGTCTTTTTATGTTCTGAGTTTTCTGTAGGTTCTGCAGCAGCATCGTTAGAAGGTTTTGGTTATATATCCCTCTGAAAAGGTCCAGTCTGTACGCTGAGATGTTCTCCAAGCCCCTGAAAATATCCATTGTCCCTGTGTAGTAGGTCTGGTCAAACAGTTTGTAGAACTGTAGCTCGGTAAAAGTCCTGTTCGCCAGATCACTGAGAATGTCTAACAGAGAATTTGGTAAAGTGTCTAACGGCATTGCAATATGCATGTTCTGGGTTTGGACAACTTTCAAACTGCCACGTTCGTAGTATTGTAATTTGGAAGAACACTGTATTGTAAAGACTTTAAGCCTTAGCTTTCTAACGGGTTTAAAGTCTCCTTTTTTGAGCCCGTTCACCAAAAGCCCACCTATCGCTAGCACTTGGAGCTTGGGGAAGTTAGCAAAGCTTTCTGGTAGTGTCGCTTGTTCAAACAAATTGTTATTCATCTCCAGAGATTTAAGGTTTGAGAGATGACGCAGTGCTTTGTCTGGGATTTGTCGAAGGGAGTTGTCGACAATGTTCAGGGTCACAAGTAGGCTGTTGTGCTGGAAGGCGTTTTCACCAATGAAAGAGATGTTATTGAAGGATAAAAGAAGATCTCGGAGTTTGGGGAAACGAGAAAAGTCTTTGGAGTGTAGAGAACTGAGACTGTTGTATGAAAGGTCGATGAGTTCCAGAGTGGGTGGAAGGTTCTGGGGAACAGAGGCCAGATGTCTCCCCATGCAGTTTGCGTTGCGGCGCGATTTGTAGATGAAGCAAGGGGGCATAGCCAAGGAAGCCACTTGGGAGGAGGCCACAGCAAAGGAGGCCACTGGGGAGGTCTCAGTGGATGAGACCGCAGTGGAGAAGGTGTTAGTGGATGAGACCGCAGGGGAGGAGGAGGCTACAGAGGAGGCGGTGTCAGTGGAGGTGGCTACAGAGGAGAAGGCTACAGGAGAGGAGGAGGTCACAGTGGAGTAGGTCTCTGTGGAGGAGGCTACAATGAAGTAAGTCTCAATGGATGAGGCCTCAGTTGAGGAGGAGGCCCCAGGGATCAGATATGGGTTTGATCCAGAGAATATAGTACACAGGAGGAGCACCCGCAGCATCTGAGTGGCTCTAGAAAGAAACACAAGAAACATTTGTTTTCACTATATTTGCCTCGGTTCAAAGGACAGTAACATTACTTCTTATTTTAACCTGAAATTGTTTTTATACAAAGGCACCGTGAGATCAGCAGAGGAGAAATCCATCTGCTCCAATAGTACGCTGAGGCTGAAGCAGAAGCAGCACTATAAGGACAGTAGTATTTGTATTTATATATTTATATTAGGGCTGTCAAAAGAACTCCTACACAGAACTATGCTCGGATTGTAATGTGTCTGTCTTTGTGTAACCGGTGCACACAAAAAATACAGCACAGAAGCAGGACTACGGAGGACGTGTGTTCTTCCGAAGAGCACTCGCTAAATTAAAGCTGGGGTACCTAATTTTTCCTTCCACTACCAGTTCATGACAGATTTAATGACATTCTGCTTCAGACTGTTTTAAATGTCCTTCATCTGAAACAAACAATAGTTTTGGTCTGAGTCTAAACAGAAAGACAGAATGTTAATAATGTTAATGCCATTTTATATGGATTTGTTGTATAATAAACAAACACAGTATGTTAGAGCTATTTGTCTATTTTTTTATTCTACTTATGATCTACTTGAGTCAGTTATTTTTTCTTAGTTTGCAAAGACAATTTTGGGTTAATTATTGCTTATTTAATTTAATTTAGGTCACGGGGATAAATAGGGCTATGGGGGGAGGGCGCAGCATAGAGGCGTTTTGGGCATATGGTTTTTCACCAGCGAGAGGAGAGGCTGCAGTTCTGCATGTTTGCCATTTGCTTGGAGAATAATTTTCTCTACCCTGCGTAAAGTCAATCTGAAAACCCCTGAGTGGCATTTTGAGTTGTTTTGGTTAAAGTTGGACATGGTTTAAGTTATGGACAAATCGCCACCACACAGTACATATGTACACTAAGCTGTCATTTATCTTTCCATTCAAACAACCATTTACAGAAAAATATGGCATAATTTTGCCGATAGTTTGAAATGCTATTATCTATCCATCCATCCATTTTCTACCCTTTAATCCATTTCTGGGTCAGGGGGTGGCAATCAGAGATGCCACCCAAGTCTCATAGCACCAGCCCCTCACTGACCCTCTGCAGGTGGTGAGTCCACAGGAGGACGGCTGCTCTCTGAGTGTGAGCATAGCCTTGATCTTTCAGTGGGGGCTTTGGGCAAAGTGGGGTTAAGTGTCTTGCCCAAGGACACAACGACAGCAGTCATCAGTGGGAGTCGGTGGAGAAGGTGTAGAGGTGGGAATTGAACCCACAACATTCAGGCCTGAAGGCCAATGCTCTACCAACTGAGCTACTGTCGCCCTTAATTAATGCTAATAATTATGAGTAATTAATTTTTAAGCTGTAATTAACTCAATTTTAAAAAATGATCGTTTGACAGCCCTAATTTATATATATAGCATCATGAGCGACATTTAATAATAAAATAATGATGCATCGGTTTTATATAGATCATTTTGGACGCTCAAAGACGCTTCACATGTTATTATTCTTTGACTCCAAACACGGTGGTGATAAACTACTACTGTAGCCACAGCTGCCCTGGGGCACACTGACAGAAAGGAGGCAACCAGTCTGTACCATCGGCCCCTCCCACCACCACTAACCATTCACACACACACCAGACTCATTCTAGGCAATGGGTGTGAAGTGTCTTGCCTAAGGACACAACGGCAGTTTGGCACTTTACAGCCGCAGCCGCCCCACTGTGGCTGGTGTTCCCAGAGGTTAAAGCTGCACTAACTGACTTTATTTTTGTATTCATTACGAAAATGCAATCCATGTCCATGCAGTGCATTGGGATAAACGTCTTTTAAAAGAAAAAGAAGCGCAGGTTTGTACTGGCGTGACATTATATTTTAATTTGAGTTTTTATGAAACAAGGAAGAGAATGCATTTCGGGTCGCAGATTGTGACCAATCACAGCGGACCACTAGCCCCCACTTTCGTGAGAAATCTACAGGTCCGTTAGCATAGACGGCTGAGTTAGCACAACAAGCGGCGGAGCTAACCTGAAACTTCCGCGTTTGCGTCACCGGTTACTGCTTACTCAGCGAAACAGCCAAAAGAAAGTCCCGTTCCTCGGCGCTTCCCGGTTCTATCGTTCTATGGTCACGCCATCCACGCTCACATCCATATCCATGTATTATCCACATTGGGAGACGCTAGCTCCGTCAACAACAGTGGGTGTGTGTGTGGGGGGCGATAGCTTCGTGGGTGCGGGGAGGGGAGCAGAAACAGCGAGGCCAGCGAGTCCGCGGCTTCAAAATCCCAAAGTCAGTTAGTGCAGCTTTAAGTGTCTTGCCCAAGGACACAACGACAGCAGGAGTCGATGGTGAAAGTCTTGAGGTGGGCTCGAATCCACGACCTTCTGGCTCAAAGGCCAATGCTCTACCAACTGAGCCACTGTCGCCTTGTTGAGTTTAATTAGTTTGTATTCATATATTTCTATATTATATATATTTTTTGAATGAACATGCAAATTCTTTTTTGTAAATTCTCTTGTTAAAGGGGCACTAACTCACTTTGTGACATTTTAAAATGTGAGCGCTGGCCTCGCTATTTCCGCTCGCCCTCCCCGCACTCACGAAGCTATCGCCCCCCACTACCCCCCGCAATATGGATCGCACATTTTCACGTAGATGGCGTGACCAGAGAATGATAGAACCGGGAAGCGCGTAGGAACGAGACTTTCTTTTGGTTGTTTTGCTGAGTAAGCAGTAACCGGTAACTAAGACACGGGAAGCTTCAGGTTAGCCTCAGCCGCTTGTTTACCTCAGCTGTCTGTGCTAGCAACAGACCTGTGGCTTTTCTTAAGAAAGTGGGGGCCAGTGGTCCGCTTTGATTGGTCACAATCTGGTCCAAAGAAACAAATTATCTTCCTTGTTGCACGAAAACTCAATCTAAAATAAAATGACACGCCAGCACAAATCTGCGCTACTTATTCTTCATACTGTATATCCCAATGCACTGCATGGACATGGATTGAATTTTCATAATGAATACAAAAATAAAGTGAGGTTATGCAGCTTTAAGGATTCGTTGGAGCTTCATGGTTTCTGTGAATGCTTCATCAGAAAGAGAAGCGTGTTTGTCCTGAGGTGGCAGGAGTTCCTACTGTGGTCACAAAGACAATCCCAGTTCTGTTTTTATGGGGAACAAATTTGTTACATGGTAAAAATCTGAATGGGTCTGTGTTTACTTTTGAACGCACTGGAAACTGCAGAAACCCTAACCCTGTTATTGTTATCTGTACTCGTTACTGCAGTACAGTGTTCATGGTTTTACACTGATCCAGACCAGAGCAGAGACGATGGTCCCAACCAAACAGATCAAGCAGACTTTCACTTGAGGAATGTTATTTATTTATTTTTTTTCAATGCTAATAAAGCATTTAGAATTTCACTCTGAACCAGAGCAGAGCAAATGTTCCAAACCAAACAGGCTTTTCAAACATCTACCAGAGGAAGCGGCTCATCTCCAGCGGCTGCACCACCTGCTGCTGCTGCACTAGTTTACTATTGTTAGTCACTTTTATAATGATTCATTTATTTGCTTGTGTGGATGGAAGTCCCCAGGGCTGGACTTAAACCCAGGGGGGACCGGGGCATCATCATCATCACAGATTTCTGCCTTTTTAAAATCTAGGCTGAAAACGTATTTATTCAGACATTCTCCAAACATTATTTATGGATTTTTGACACAGGTACAAAGTATATCAACAAAGATGCATACAATGTGCAAACCGATTATCTAAGATTAAGAAAGACAATGTTACAAATAACCAAGACCCTACTAAAACAATTAAGTTTTACGCTTCACATTCATCATACCATCAACCATTCACACACACACCAGTCCCGCTGTGGCACCTGGTAAAGGTATCATGTGTTCTCTTCCAGGTTCTTTTCCATCACCACATTTTAAAACATGATTTGAACTGTATCAAACCTTCACACTCACCTCATGATGTGTGTGTTGCTGTCTCTCTGTGTGTGTTTGTGTGTGTTTGTGTAGCTGCTTTTGAGGCAGGTGCAGCTCCTCCCTCTCTGTTCATTCACTCGGTTACACCTCTCTCTCTCTCTCTCTCTCTCTAACAGTGGAGAGATCAGGAGATTTATAATAAAGCTTGTCTAATAATAATAGATTTTATTTCTTAGGTGCCTTCCTCGACACTCACGGTCCCCTTACATACAAGTAAAGAGTGCATTTTAAAAACAGTTAAAATACAAAGCTAAAAGCAGCATGAACAGAGGATGGTGTGAGTGAGTAGGCTCAAATCAAAAGTATTGTGCATATTTGTCTGAATGTAATACTTGGTATATTTAAATTTCACTTCAGTGTATTTCGGTAAAGCCCTAAATCAGAATCAGAATAATTTTTATTGCCACGTAAGTAACAGGAAGTCACAGAGTTGGAAATTGCTTTGGCTTAGTGCAACAGTCAAAGAGAGATAATTCAAAAATAAAGAATTAAAAAAACACTTCTAAGGAATACATTTAAATTTAAATAGAGTTACAGTTACTATTTACAATAGTTGAATCACAACTTTTTCAGAATATTTTATTTAGTAGAACAGAGAATTAAACAGTTCCAACACAGGACATGCAATGATAACAAACACATATGAGCCGTTGGTCCATAGGAAGCGGGACGACCACTGTCCAGAAATTTTAATAAGTGTTAATAAATAAAACGGATCATCTCTGTCCTTAGATCCTCCAGCAACAGAGAGGAACCACTCAGAGAAAAACAAAACCACGGCCCGTGCCGCCCCGTGCAGAGCATGTTGAGCTGTGTATTTTGAATGTGTGTGATCAGTGATTGTGTGTCTATTGAATAACATGGGAACTTTCATGAGTCTGCCGTGCACACACTGTTTTCTATTTAAAATTCTGTGATCAACTACTGATGGTACAGGTTTTTAGATTATGTTGAGTCATTTTCATCCAAATTACTGAAAAGGCCCAGGATGTGTGAAAATGATACATTTTCATTTTTCCATTTAAAGACCTTATGACGGGTTTGATTTATTTAGAAATACAGTTTTAATACCATTTTATATTAGAAGAGAACTACTAAAGGTTTCAAAATCAGTTGTTGTTTTTTTTGTCTGATCCCCCCAAATCGAAATAACCCCATAGCAACGCCCTTAGAGACGAAAAAACTTCACAGCCCTTGGTGACGTCAGAGTGGGTAGGTTTCAACGCTGTAAGTTGTTTACAATTTGGTATTCGTTCTTTTTTCACGGATATTCAAGATGACAAGGCCGTGTACAGCAAGTCTAAAATAACTACTAGAATGTAACATTTCGTTGTCACTGAGATAGTCCAGTGCTTATGTCGATGGACTATCAATTCAGAAACTGGGGTTCATATCCCAATTCAGACACATTTTCACTCTCAAACGGCAATTTATGTGTAGTGAGCAATTGTCACCTGTAGAGGGCAGTATTGTGTTGGGCATCAGTGGAGAGAAGAGAGAAAAGGCAGTCCTGTGGCATAGATCCATGGTTTTCAATGCATGGGCGTAACCCGCTGTGACGTCACACACAGGTTAGAGCATAGACAACTTAAATTCATGAAAAACACGTTCTTTTTATAAAATATAGGATTTTTTTTGCCGGAATCTCTTTCACATTGACATTGTCATGCAATTTTGATATCCAACATTTGTTTTTTTTAAACCCGTCATAAGGTCTTTAATATAATGGGCTTCCTGTTTGTCAGGGGGCGTGGCTACAATTACTTTCTTGAGGAACATGTACTGAATTTAGTGGCTCTAGGACAAACTTGACCTTGGACCCCCTCCCATAGGCGCAATGTAAACTGACTTTTTTAGGGGGAGCTGTTTTGCCTTTAGAAACACTCCAAATAATATAATTTTTTTGCATGTTCTGAATTTTGGGCCACAATTTGGAAGTTTTCATGCATGTTCAGGTGGTCAAATTAAGGCTCAAAGTGCAGAAGAAAAAAGAAAGAAATAAGGATTTTTGTTTCAAAATAAAAAAAATAGTTTTCCATGGTAATGTTTATACAAATAATACACAGTTTTAAAGCAGAACAACGAACGAACGCAACTCTTCTTAGTGATTGACAAGTGCGTCCATCATCATTCACTGAGCATAAGACACCTTATATCTTTCTTTATTTTGAACTGTTTGTATATTTCCTGTCTATTCGACACCTAATTATGGCCAAAAGGAAACGTGTACATTTCTCCATTGTGAGATATCTAATGTTTTATCTATTTCTTGTGTTGTAATCAAGACGGTTGTGGTAGTTGTTAAATTGTGCTCTGAGTAGGAATTAGGACCTGACGCTTCTGTTGCTAAATAGTGAGCTGTGTCTAAATGCTTTTACTATAGTACTAGTCCTCCCTCTACACAACCTGGGCACAGGAATCGCCCTCAGCCCCCCTCACTCACTCTCTCTCCTCTATGACCTCCACACTTAACCCAGGCCTGTCCACCAGTGGCTCCCTCTCCTCAGAGCCCCCTCGGCTCCTCTGGCTCCCGCTCCTGGACCTCACCACGGCCGGTCTGCCCAGCACGCTCCGCAGCTGAGCCCAGAAGAAGGCTCGCTGGTTCTGCTGCTGGGGCCACTCCAGGTAGGTCCTGGTGCTCAACATCTTCTTGAGCTTGCAGTACTTGTTGGGCAGAGAACCGGGGTCGATGGGCTCCTTCAGAACCAGGATGACGTCGTGGAAGGTCTTCCCCATCGCTCGCTGCTGCGCAAAGTACAGCTCATAGTTGCACCACTCGCTGTTGACGAAATGCCGAGAGAGCACGAAGATCATCTGGCAAGAAAAGGCAAAGGTTATTTGTAAAGCACAGGTCCGACACAAAGAGCTTAACAAGAGCTTAACAAAACACAATAGAAACAATCACACAAAGCATTAACATCCGAAATACTCACAGTACATTAAAAACAGTACAGATACAATCCTTCAGTTGTAATCACAGCTGAACAGAACTATTTCAAAGCTAGATTTGAACATTGTCAAAGAAGAAGCCTGTCTCACATTTTCAGAAAGATTTGTCCCGGTTTTAGCTAAATAAATCAGAAAGGCTGCCTCCACGTGTTTAGTCCTGACTCTGGGAACCAGAAGAGGCCAGTCCCTGTGCTCCTCAGAGTCTCAGCAGGAGGCCATCTTATCTTATTTTTTTAATGTGTCCTTCACACAGTCCATACTAAGCACAGGCCTCTGCATCCAAGAGTCACCAAAATCTAATGATAAACAATGGCACTCTCTAGTGGTGGTGTTTAAAATTGCACATCCCTTATATGTGCCTCATATGCTCTCTGTGTTTGAACTGTTGGCCCTCTATAACAGTTGGTACACTGGAAAAAGTGATAAAATATGTGGTTTTAGTCTTAATCTGAGTTGAGATGCTGTTATTGTGTCCCTGGGCAAGACACTTAACCCCACTTTGCCTAAAGCCCCTGCTGAAAGACCAAGGCCTCCTGTGGACCCAGTTCTGGATCAGCGAAGGTGCAGTGCTTTCAGGATTGGTTGACAGCTTGGACAATCAATCATTCATAAAAACTGTTTGATTCTCTGATCTGTGTTTGGGAATCATCAACTTTGTCTTACGAGATAACTGCTGTTGTGAGGGTAATACAAAAATACATTAAATTGAATTAAATTGAATCCATCATCCACAAATAGTCTCTCCTTGGACCTTGAGTCTGAATACTTTTCCTTCTTGTTCGTACCTTGTGGCTGTTTTCAATGTTCTCGATGATGTTGTCGATGATCCACTTCCCGGGTGTGAAGTCTCTCTCGTGGATGCACAGACGGTAAGGGTTCCCGCGGTCCTCCAGAGCGGGCAGCAGCTGGTCCCTCACCCAGTCGGCGTCCCAGTGGCTGTAGGAGATGAAGGCGTGGTACCGGAGCATTGCCTCCTCTCCAGGCGGGGTCTGGTAGGCTCGGTATTTGGCTCTGAGGATCTGGTACGTGGCCTTGGTGTACCAGGGGAGTTCGAAGACGTAGCAGACCACCATCAGAGCCATGAGGAAAGCTGCAGTCGTGGCCACGGCGATGAGGACGACCAGTCGGACGTCACACGCCAGACGCCCTGGACGAGCAGAGAAGACAGTCTCACTGTGTTGTTGTGAGAACAGAAAATACAAACATGTGCTACTGTCCAGAATGTTTCCATTTATTATTTTGACTGTCTCCAGATCTTGACCTAGTTTTGAATTCTGGATTTACATCTGCAGTCCTGGGTCTACAGCCTCAGTCCTGGATCTACAGCCTCAGTCCTGGATCTACAGTTTCAGTCCTGGCTCTACAGCCATTCTCTCTCGGGCCAACACGGAGACGCTGATGCATGCTTTTATCACCAGTCGCATTGACTACTGTAATGCCCTGCTCTCTGGTCTTCCCAAAAAGAGTATTGCAAGTCTTCAATTACTCCAAAACTCGGCCGCACGTGTCCTGACTAAGACCAGGGAGCGGGACCACATTACACCGGTTTTAAAATCGCTGCATTGGCTCCCCGTGTGTTTCAGGATCAATTTTAAGGTTCTTTTAATGGTTTTTAAATGTCTTGGGCACGGTCTTGGGCCTTCTTATCTTTCAGAACTACTTTTATCCTATGAACCTTCCCGGCCCCTGCGCTCCTCCGGCAGCAGACTCCTAACCATCCCCAAAGTCAGGACACACACTCACGGCGAGGCATCTTTCCAGCACTACGGCCCCCGTCTCTGGAACAGTCTGAGGAGCTCAGGGCCGCAGAGAACATTCATATTTTCAAAAGTAGGCTCAAGACACACCTTTTTAGAATAGCTTTTCATTAGTATTTATTATTCCATTCTATTTATCTTTTATTATTTATCATTTATATTATTGCTATTGCTATTATTCATGTATTGTGTGTTCCTTTTAGTCTCACATTTTAGTGTTTTACTTATTGTATTATTTTTAGTGTACCCAGTGTTTCCTCTGGAGGAGCCCTCTGCACTGGGAGCAGTGGTCAGTGTGGCTGCGGGGGTCGGACCCCACTCTTGGGCCTGGTGGGGCCCTGGGGCCTCGGCTTCGTGTCTCCTCTGGGTCCTGTGGCTACGGGCGGCTCTCTGCTCCTGGTGCAGACGGCTCTTTGGATGACGCTTTTTCAGCTGGTTGCATCTGAACCCTGCCAAGTCTCTCATCATGGTTTTATTGTTTTACTGGTGTGTGTGTGTGTATATGAGTCTTCATGAGAGCGTGTGTGTGTTTGTCTGTGGTTTCGGGTGGGTCTGTTGGGTGGTCTGGGGGAGGGGTCTTGGGCCGGCGGGATTGTTTTTAACCAAACTGTAAAGCACTTTGTGTTGCATCTTTTGTATGAAAAGCGCTTTATAAATAAAATTTGATTTATTGATTGATTGATACAACCTCAGTCCTGGATCTACAGCCTCAGTCCTGGGTCTACAGCCTCAGTCCTGGATCTACAGCCTCAGTCCTGGATCTACAGCCTCAGTCCTGGATCTACAGCCTCAGTCCTGGATCTACAGCCTCAGTCCTGGATCTACAGCCTCAGTCCTGGATCTACAGCCTCAGTCCTGGATATACAGCCTCTCCATTTGTTTATGTAAATGTTCTGTGTTTTTTTATTTTAGTGTTACATTTTCTCTGTATGAAATGTTTGAATTCATGATCTGTGGTGGCAAATCGAGAACATCTCCAATGTTATGATTAAGGGCTAAACAAAAATAAATGGAATTGAATGAAACTATACATTTGTACCTGGGACAAACTTGGAGATGTAGGTGTTGAGCAGAGCCTGTGGGTGGTAGCAGTGGTAGTTCCACGGCCAGTCGGTTAAATTCACCATTGCCTTCGACAAGGTGTCCTCAAAAAACGCATGCAGCTCGCACGTGCACTGGTAAGGATTGTTCCCCGCTTTGAGAGATTTCATCAGCGGCATATCTTGAAATGAGTTCACTGTTATGACACCAAAAGAATTCCCATCGAGTTCCAGCGATCGCAGGGTTGGGCTTTTCCAGTTTGGCGGAATGTACTTGATTTTGTTTCCACTTAGAAGCACTTCTTTGAGGTTCACGGCTTTGTCAAAGAATGCTGTGTCCACCTTGTCCAGACTGCAGTATGAAAGATCCAAGTACTCCACAGTGGCTGGCAGGCAAAGCAAGGACTCACTGGCAAACTCGTTGTGGTGTGCAATGAAGCGAGTAATATTATGGTTCCAGATGCAACCGGTGCTGAGAGGAGCAGAGCCCAGATGGTTGAAGCTTACGTCCAGAACCTTCAATCGTACAAAATATTTCACAGACGAGGAGATAACTTTCAGGCTGGTGAGTTCATTGTTGGTGTAGTACAAAGTCTGGAGGTTTGGCATGGTTCCATTGTAAACGCAGCGGGGGTTGTACATGTACTGGTTGGTGAGGCGGTTGTTGGAGAAGTCCAGCAGTTCCATTTCTCTCATTGCCGGCAAGCCCTCACACGGCATTGCTTTTGGGTAGGTGAACTGAATGGACAGCTCTTTGATTTTGCTCAGCCATGTAAAGTGCGAGTCGAACCGTATAATTTCCGGGTTGCTGATGTACCTGAAAGAAAATTAACCATGTTTATTAATTTAATTAAGCTATAGTAGTCAAAAAACAGGTAAACATCAATATAGTGAGTTGGCGCTAGTTAGCCCTGACATGCCGAAATCTCACTCCGGGCCAGTGGGGATGGACCCGGTTTAAGAATTATCCAATGAGTCTTCTTACCTCTTGAAAACAGCTTCACAGTATGGTCCAAAAGTTGGCTCTTGGTCCAACGCTACGTTCCAGATGCCGTCAATGCTGAGGCAAGTGTTTTTTTTTTTTGGATCTAGTTTAGCCTTTGTGGACTGAAGGAGCCATATCTATTGGTTCGTGGGTATGGTTGCTATGGCAACGTGTCAGGGGGCGTGGGTCACGTGGGCATGGGTGCCGTGCCGGGAGTTTTGAAAGGCACTCTCTTCCTGCTCAGTAACAGGGAGAGGGGAGAAGCCGGGTAGCCATATTTTTCGTTGACCGCACACTTTTGTTCCATACTATTTTGTTTCCAGTTTTACTCAAAGGCCTGTTATTCATTGTAAAAATCATAAACCGCAGATACAGTTAAATTCACAAATTGCATTACGTGCCTCCAGCGTGTTCTTTGCAATCGGCTGCGCGTCATCCATTATACTTGACCCGCACTCTTCTCTCCAGAGGTGACAAAAAGTTTTGGGTCGCTACATGAACTTCAGAAATCACTTTGTTAAATAAATGGGGCGTGCCGGCTAACACATGCGCAAATGTGCCATGACCATTTTGAAAAAGGAGGAAAAATTGATGGCACAGTTGTTTCAACAGCTGAGATCGGAGTCACTACGTCCGTCAATGGCTTCATGGTCTGTGGTGACGTAGTCACGCTGCTTCTGTGCCTCTCCTGTTGCATGTGGTTATTGTTTACTGCCAAAGCTGTCACAGCTGCCTGACCACGGCTTTGCTTCAAAGGTAATCCACTACTTTTTGTTTAATAATTTTTAGTCTATGGTTTGAACAGTGCTGTTTCATTGTCCTTATTTAGAGACGTTTTGTTAATATGGATGAATTACAAGTTTATTTAATCTGCAGTCAACATGACACAGTCTATGGGGAAAACGGGTCATTATGCTAGGTTGATTTGAGAACACGGCATGCAGTCACTAACAAAAGGCAGATACATCAGTATAACTTTAAAAAGAATGTAGTTTTATTTGATTAAGTAGTGCCGTCGATTATGTAAAATGTTACTTTCACAAGGATCTAACTAAGACTATTTATTTAGTCTTCATTTCAGTAAGGGCAGGCTCCTTTTGTGGCACCGGCACCTGCCACAGCTGATCAGTGGCATGTACACAACAAATGGCGTTTAAAACGGCATGTGGACAACAAGTGGCGTTTAAAACGGCATGTGGGGAATAAATGGCGTGTAAAGCGGCATGTGGACAACAAATGGCATTTAAAACGGCATATGGACAACAAGTGGCGTTTAAAACGGCATGTGGGGAATAAATGGCGTGTAAAGCGGCATGTGGGCAATAAATGGCGTTTAAAACGGCATGTGGACAACAAGTGGCGTTTAAAACGGCATGTGGGGAATAAATTGCGTGTAAAGCGGCATGTGGGCAATAAATGGCGTTTATAACGGCATGTGGACAACAAGTGGCGTTTAAAACGGCATGTGGGGAATAAATGGCGTGTAAAGCGCCATTTGGGCAATAAATCAATAAATGCCGTTTAAAACGGCATGTGGACAACATGTGGACAACAAGTGGCGTATAAAACGGCATGTGGGGAATAAATGGCGTGTAAAGCGGCATGTGGCATGTGGGCAATAAATGCCGTTTAAAACGGCATGTGGACAACAAGTGGCGTATAAAACGGCATGTGGGGAATAAATGGCGTTTAAAACGGCATGTGGACAACAAATACAGTTGAAAAGCAGGTCCAGTGGCTCAGATGGAAAAGCACAGGTCTACGGTTCTGATGGTTGCTAGTTCAAATCACCAGTGACTACCAATGACATTTGCTGATGTTGGGTCCTTGGGCATAACACTTCATGAAGAACGTCAGAAGTGCCATCAATTGTTTGAGTAATAATAATATATGTTATTGCATAAATTTGTTGAAAGACTTCATTTCATGTACTATATATAGTTTAAGTTCCACAAGAGCCGCACCACCCAGTGGCGCACTTGGTTTATAACTGTCTCTCATGCGGAAGATACCTGTTTCAAATCCAGGACTGGTTGTTATTTTCTTTTGTCAGATTAAATACAAATTTAATGTGTATGACATATAAATATATATAAGAACTTATTTTTCAGTCGCTTTGATGCTGCCCCTGACACATCTCCCTCCCCCACCCCCCACTACTCTAACGACCCACCCATCAGCCCTGCCCCCACCTTGACAATAGCCTCTAAAGATATTAAACAACTCTTCTTGAGGCTGCACCCCCGCAAAGCTCCTGGCCCGGACCACGTGTCTCCGGCCACTCTGAGACACTGCGCCAGTGAGCTTACTCCTGTGTTCACTGACATTTTCAACTCCTCTCTGCAGTCCTGCCATGTCCCGGCCTGCTTCAAATCCTCCATCATTGTCCCCGTCCCGAAGAAGCCCAGGATCACAGGACTCAATGACTACAGACCTGCAGCACTTACGTCTGTCGTCATGAAGTCATTTGAACGCCTGGTTCTCTCCCATCTCAAGTCCCTCACCTCCCCCCTCCTGGACCCCCTGCAGTTCGCCTACAGAGCCAACAGATCTGTAGACGACGCCATCAACCTGGCCCTCCACCACATCCTACAGCACCTGGACTCCCCGGGGACCTACGCCAGTGTCCTGTTCGTGGACTTCAGCTCTGCCTTCAACACGATCCTGCCATCCCTGCTCCAGGACAAGCTCTCCCAGCTCAACGTGCCCGATTCCACCTGCAGGTGGATCACTGACTTCCTGACGGACAGGAAGCAGCGAGTGCGTCTGGGGAAGAATGTCTTGGACTCTCGGATTATAAATACAGGAGTCCCACAGGGCTGTGTTCTTTCTACCCCGCTCTTCTCCCTGTACACCAACCACTGCACCTCCAGCCACGACTCCGTGAAGCTGCTCGAGTTCGCGAACGACACCACCCTCATTGGACTCATCTCCAATAACGATGAGTCCGCCTGCAGGAGGGAGGTGGACCGGCTGGTGTCCTGGTGCAGTGGTAACAACCTGGAGCTGAACGCCCAGAAGACAGTGGAGATGATTGTGGACTTCAGGAAGAGCACTGTCCCCCCGCCCCCACCCTCCGTGATGGACTCCCCCATCACCTCTGTGGAGTCCTTCCGTTTCCTGGGCACCTCAAGTGGGAGTCGACCATCAGCTCCCTCATCAAGAAGGCCCAGCAGAGGATGTACTTCCTGCGGCAGCTCAGGAAAGCCAAGCTGCCTGCACAGATGTTGGTGCAGTTCTACACGGCCATCATCGAGTCCATCCTCACCTCCTCCATCACTAGATATGTAATCCTCCATTTGGAAATGAGTTTTAAAAAGTAAAACAAAACGCGTGTGTCCTCCGTAAACTACTCTGTTTTGCTAGGTGCAGCCGGGTGCATCCAATTTCTAAAATCAACCGTCTTACACTTCACCTCTCTTTCTTATCATTCCTATAGTAATTGAAAAATTACCGTAAGTGCATTTTAAATTATCTTAAAATGTGTTATATGTATGTTGCAAACTTGTTGCAGCCCTTAGCAGATAAACCAGGAAGAGAAAGGAGCTTTCAGATGGAATTGTATGCAGCCGACTTCTGCGCTCACATGCGCTCCTCTGAGGCTGACCTCACGGTGATACAAGCTGTGGTTGAGCGCGACTAAGACCCATATTTGTTTCAAAAACACAATTTATGACCATCCTCTCAACTGTAGACATGTAGATTGTAAAGGAAATATGTTTTACATCAGCCAATAATTGCTGAGAGGTTTTCTCATCCTCCCTTCTCTCATGACGACACGCTCACGAGTCCTATCACGAAGTAAAAAGAGAAGTTCATTGTGCGTCTTTAGTAACGCGCAGTAACGGGATGTCGGAAATGATAACGGCGTTATAGTTACAGTCAAAGTAATTAGTTAGATTACTCGTTTGACTGAAAAAAAACATTAACGGCGTTAGTAACGCCTTAAATGTCTGTAAATAGCTGTGATGTGTGATTCTTCTTCACCATATTAAAGTGTAAGTAAGTAATCTTTTTATATATAGCGCCTTTCACAGACACAGTCTTTTATGTATGCAACAGATAATGCTTTTCAATAAAGGGAAGACAACACAATGTGGTCCTATTTGTTCACAATATACATCTCTTTCTGTTGAGAAAAACATGACAGGGTTTCAGTTGGAGGTTCACCACTGCTCACATTTCAGTCAGACCAGCTTTGACGGGTCTGATAAAAAAACTAAAATAAGAAATACAAAAAAAACTAAGAAAACTTGTCAGAACCTTTGAATCTCGTTATTTAGATAGATATAGATAGACTCTGTACTTTCTCTCTCTGTAGTCTCTCTCTCTGTGGTCTCTCTCTCTCTGTAGTCTCTCTCTCTGTAGTCTCTCTGTAGTCTCACACTATGTAGTCTATCTCTGTGGTCTCTGTAGTCTCTCTCTCTCTAGTCTCTCTCACTATACTCTCTGTAGTCTCACACTATGTAGTCTATCTCTGTAGTCTCTCTCTCTCTCTCTGTAATCTCTCTCTCTGTAGTCTCTCTCACTGTAGTCTCTCTCTCTGTAGTCTCTCTCTCTGTAGTCTCTCTATGGTCTCTGTGGTCTCTCTCTCTCTCTAGTCTCTCTCTCTGTAGTCTTTATGGTCTCTATAGGCTCTCCCTCTCTCTCTGTGGTCTCTCTCTCTCTGTAGTTTCTCTGTGTAGTCTCTATGGTCTCTGTAGTCTCTCTCTCTCTCTCTCTAGTCTCTCTCACTATACTCTCTGTAGTCTCACACTCTGTAGTTTATCTCTGTAGTCTCTCTCTCTGTAGTCTCTCTCTCTCTGTAGTCTCTCTCACTCTGTAGTCTCTCTCTCTCTCACTATACTCTCTGTAGTCTCTCTCTCTGTAGTTTCTCTAGTCTCCCTAAATGTACTCTGTGTAGTCTCTCTCTGTACTCTCCATAGTCTCTCTCTCTATACTCTCTAGTTACTCTGTAGTCTCTCTTGTCTCTCTCTGTAGTCTCTCTCTGTGGTCTCTCTCACTGTAGTCTCTCTCTCTGTACTCTCTGTAGTCTCTCTCTCTGTACTCTCTGTAGTCTCTCACTCTGTAGTCTCTCACTGTAGTCTCTCTCTCTGTAGTCTCTCTCTGTAGTCTCTCTCTCTGTCGTCTCTGTAGTCTCTCTCTCTGTAGTCTCTGTAGTCTCTCTCTCTGTAGTCTCTCACTGTAGTCTCTCTCTCTGTAGTCTCTCACTGTAGTCTCTCTCTGTAGTCTCTGTAGTCTCTCTCTGTCGTCTCTGTAGTCTCTCTCTCTGTCGTCTCTGTAGTCTCTCTCTCTGTCGTCTCTGTAGTCTCTCTCTCTGTAGTCTCTGTACTCTCTCTCTCTCTGTACTCTCTGTAGTCTCTCACTGTAGTCTCTCTCTGTAGTCTCTCACTGTAGTCTCTCTGTAGTCTCTGTAGTCTCTCTCTGTAGTCTCTGTAGTCTCTCTCTCTGTAGTCTCTCTCTCTGTAGTCTCTGTATTCTCTATAGAGTCTATAGGCTCTTGCTTTACTGAGACCATAAAGCTGAGGTGCGTGTGTAAACCAGCCCTCCTCCACCTGCTGCTCCTCCTGCTCTCTGCAGGACGGGGGCAGGTCCGAGGGGGGAGTGTCCCGTCTGCACAAAACCTCCGTGTGTCAGTTCTGCATGTGGCTTCTCCCTTCTCTCCCTCGGACCTGTGCGTCTCTCTCTGTGTCTACCTTCGGATCTGCTTCACACCTTTCTCCGCTCTCTGTGGCTCTTTCCCCCGGACTGAGAGAGAGAAAGAAAGAAAGAAGGAACCATGACGCACGCGGCCACCAACATGCGCCTGAAGCTGCCCTCCACCTGCCTGGTCCTCGAGATCATCCTCATGATTCTGTTCGGGACGCTGGTGCAGTACGACTACGAGACCGACGCCAAAGAGTGGCACGAGCACAAACACAACGGCTCCACGGACGGGGACAACGACTTCTACTACCGCTACCCCAGTGAGTGACCGCTACTGCCCCGTGGCCGCTGCCCTGTGTCCACCACCACTGTTTATAGACTCAGACAGACTTTATTAATAATAATAATAATAACAATAATAATACATTGGTTTTATATATTCAGGACACACACACACACACTGGTGCACACTGGGGTAGTCTTGCACAGTTTTTCCAATGTGGTTTTACTGCAAATGGCAAATAAATGAATCTGAATCTGACATACACACACATTCAGACGGACACATGAAACTAAGAAACTAAAAGCAGGAAAGAAGAGTACAATACTGAAACTAAGAGTCGTATGCTTGGAGGAAGAGGAGAGTTTTTAAATGTGTTTTGAAGGAGTTTCGTGAGTCAGAGTTTCTGAGATGAAGGGGGGAGAGAGTTCCAGAGAGTGGGAGCAGAGATGGCGAAAGCTCGGTCCCCCCAAGGTTCGGTGCTTGGGTTTGACAGTGGGAGTGAGGAGATGTGGGTCTGCAGATCGGAGTGGACTGGAGGGACTTTAGGGCTGTGGAGGTTCAGTGAAGTCTGGAGGAGGTTATGGAGGAGCTTTGTAAGGGATGAGGAGGACTTTGAAACGGATGTGCTGGAGAGCCAGAAGGGAGATTGCGTTGTCACAGAAGCTTGCATAGTATATCACATTAAAGATCACAAATGCTCCAATATTTACCGAAACTGACCAGCTATTGAAGTACCCAATCATGTGGCATTTTTATTTTATTGTTAATTTGACAGGGACATTGTGCATTAATAAGATTTTTTCATCCGCAGTCGCTGGAGTTCACAGTAGTAAACTACACCGTGAAACAGATTGCTCAAAGTCAGCAAAGATGTAGATGTTGTATTAGATAGATAGATAGATAGATAGATAGATAGATAGATAGATAGATAGATAGATAGATACTTTATTGATCCCAAAGGAAATTGTGCACTCGTCCCTTGCTCGCAATCATACAAAGATACATACATAGGTTAGAATTAAAAGATGCAAAAGTTAAAAACGAGATAATAAATACATTAAAAACATTAAAAGAGAACTTAAGGCACTGCAAAACAATTCTCAAGACCCCCCCCCCTACCTCCCCCCTCCCTGCTCCTCCCTGAAGTGGCTTTGTTATAGAGCCTCATGGCGTTGGGGACAAAAGAGTTTTTTAGTCTGTCCCTGGAGCACCTCAGAGAGAGGAGTCTGGAGCTCATGGTGCTTCTCTGCCGGGAAAAAAATGAATTTAGTGGGTGGCTCTGGTTGGACAAGATCACCCTGATCTCGGAGAGCGTTCTTTGCTCTACCACCTCCTCCACTGAATCCAGGCCCAGACCCACCACAGAGCCCGCCTTTCTAATGAGCCAGTTCAGCCTCTCAGTGTCCCTCTTTCGTGCACTGCCCCCCCAACAGACAACTGCATAGAAAAGGACACTAGACACAACAGACTGATAAAACATGTAGAGAAGCTTATCACAGACCCTGAAAGATGCCAATCGCCTCAAAAAGTTATTAGTCCCACAGCGGGGAAATGTCAGTGTTGCATCAATAGTTACAGGACAATAGGAATGAGGAACACACAGCACAAGACACATTGACAATAACTCTGTACTAGAATAAATTAAAATGTCTATCTTTAACATTATGAAGAAGCGGGTATAACATCTCTAACTTTAGCCCAATAAAGAAGCAAGAAGAACGTATAAAATCTCCATCTTAGCGAAGCAAAATTATCTTGTTTTAAAAAGATGCAAGAACAGTCTCCCTTGGAATAAGAAAAGAAAGCAACAGAATTTTGTTTTAACACAGTCAGAATGTGCTCAGATTAAGGAGAAAAAACACTCAATCCAAGCATTTATAACCTCACATTTGATCATTTTTTGCAGTGTAAAGTCTGGCATCCGCACACGACACCGGTCCCAGACTCAAATCTGTGGACTGGGAGCAGGTTTTGACGTTATCTTAGCTGTAAACACCTCTTTTCATTCATTCGTTGCCAGATAGACGTGTTTATTGCCTCATAATGTTTCCCAGTCCACTTTGAAGTATTGTGTGGTGTAATCATTAACTCGATTATCATAAACATGTCAGAAATTCTTTCGCCAACAGCTGTCAACACCAGCTTCCACCGGTGAACCGTAAATATGACGATTCGATTTTTCTTTCATTGTCTTGTGCATTTTATTGGTCTGGATTGATCTCTTGACAGCTGCTGTTTGAACTTGTATCTTTGTGCATTGAAGTCATTTATTATTGTATTATATGGACCATTTAGGTCCCAAAGTAACAGAATATATACACGGCCTGAAACCTGGACACTCTCTCGACCTGGCTTCCCATTAATAATTCCATACATTTTTCTTACGTATTTCTCTTTGATTGATTGATTTTAGCTGTCTGTTGTCTGTTTGTACAATAATATCGCCTTTTGGACACTCAAAGATGCTTTAGAGGAAGAATTGGGTTAAGAGTGAACCTGATGCAAAACAAGCGATAACCTATTCCTAAGTCCTAACCCTAACATAGAGAACCCTAGTCCTAACTCTAACAAAGTGAACCCCAGTCCTAACCCTAACTCTAACTTTAACCTCCGGCCTCTAACCCTTCTCCAGCCCTGACCCATTTACCCTCCCATGTTTATTCCTTTGTTGATATCGTGTCGAGGTGGTTTTGTTTTAGTTTTACTTCCTGTCCTGTTGTCGGCCCTGCCCTCATGTGTGTCACCTGTGTCTATATGTACCTGTGTCTGTGTCTATATGTACCTGTGTCTGTGTCTATATGTACCTGTGTCTCTGTGTCTATATGTACTGTACCTGTGTCTGTGTCTATATGTACCTGTGTCTGTGTCTATATGTACCTGTGTCTCTGTGTCTATATGTACCTGTGTCTCTGTGTCTATATGTACCTGTGTCTCAGTGTCTATATGTACCTGTGTCTCTGTGTCTATATGCACCTGTGTCTCTGTGTCTATATGTACTAGTGTCTATATGTACCTGTGTCTCTCTGTGTCTATATGTACCTGTGTCTCTCAGAGTCCCAGCAGGAGGCCAGTCCCTGTGCTCCTCAGAGTCCCGGCAGGAGACCAGTCCCTGTGCTCCTCAGAGTCCTGGCAGGAGGCCAGTCCCTGTGCTCCTCAGAGTCCCAGCAGGAGGCCAGTCCCTGTGCTCCTCAGAGTCCCAGCAGGAGGCCAGTCCCTGTGCTCCTCAGAGTCCCAGCAGGAGACCGGTCCCTGTGCTCCTCAGAGTCCAAACACAGTCTTCACTCCATTCTCTCTCTCTCTTTTTCCTCTAACAACAGAGACTCATAAAAACGAATGAACTTACTTCTTTTCTGTTGCATTTAGAGAAAGTTTGT